AAAAAAAAAACCCGACACGGCCACTCTAGTCAATGCTAGTGTTAATATGTTGCAGAAGCATCCCAGAAGCAGCTCTTAGCGCTGCTTCGCTAAAGATACATGCCTACGTCTCCTTCAATTAAAAATAATGGCTAGTGCGGTGGCTGCAATATATACATAAACATACCAACATTCGTCGCCATAACTTATTGCGAGAGGGAAAAAAAAGTTTTAGTCACATAACATCGGTTAATGGAACTGCCATCATTTCACAATAGCTTTTTTTATTGACATTTATAATATATTGCAAAAGTTTGCGCAAATCTGTAATGGAAAAGCAGCTACTGACATTCATCAAAATATCTTCTTTTGTGCTTCACAGTAGAAAGTCTGTCAAACATGTCTAGATTAACATGAGTAAATGATGACCAAAAGCTTCATTTTGGGAGGAATTATCCGTTTAAATGCAATTTTGGTACTGCTCTAGCTGGTGGACCAACTATGTCTGGTTTTACCCTGGTTAGAAGGTACACTCGGTGGCTGAGCTCAGTAAAAGTCTGCTGGGAAACCAGCACACCATCATACTGAAGACTAGCCTGCCTCCAAAACACAACTGGGTTAGTTTTTATGTGACTTAAAGGGATAGTTCACCCAAAAATTCTGTCATCATTTACTCACAAACATGAGAGTAGATATTTTGAAAAATGTGGGAATCTTCTCACACAGTTTGGAAAAACAACTTGTGTGTGTAAATAATGACAGATTTAGTTCTTACCCTCTGAAACCATACATTCTGTCAACAAACGAGCCTTTTATTTACAAGTCCATCCTGTTCTGCTCTTCCACCTGCTCTGTTAAACTCTTGCAACAATAATGTTACCATTTCCAAGCTGTGAAGTGGCACAAAGATTCACGGGAGCATTTCCCAGATGCAAAGGCACGAAATGACAGAGAGCCGGTGAGCACAGCGGGCCTGTATATCAACACAGAACCGGCGTGGTTTCACAAACAGTGCCAATTACATGGGGATAAATCCTTGTTTTTCACATGGCTTATGAGACACAAGTTAATTGCTTCCGCTTGTCAGCCCTCCAATCCCTTTGAAGCCCCCTCGGCTCCCGGTCGCTACGCCTTGTCTCTTACCGTAGCAGCAACGCGACTGGTTTTTCACCGCAAGGCAACAGGAAGTTACATTGCGGACAATTGTGTCAGTTGTTTGCAAACAAACCGGATGGACATCTGAAATGCCAGGAGTCTGCAACCAATCAGAACAGAGGTATTTGCATATTTACAATAATATTAAAAAATTCTGACTATTTACATTCTAAGAGAAAAACTTTTCAGAATAGCACACTACCATAATATTTCTGCACAATGTAGTAAGTGCGCAGCATCCATATTTGCGATGATGTTGCAAAAAATGCCTTAAAACAATGTCTAAAATGTAAAAAATGAAGTACACTAAAGAACATCCCACAACGCAATGACCTAAACAACTTGACATTCCATCTAAAGTGTGACAATCAAATTGGAAGTAACTGCAATCGCACTTTGCATCATCATCTTGCCTTATTTCGCAAAAATGACAATTAAAATTTGCTAAATAAAACTGCAATAAATCGGCAGAATAAACACTGATGAAGTGATATCAATATCCACAACACATTTAACTTACTTAATGCAATGCACTTTTGAGTTATTTAATGTGAGTTCAATATTTAATGTGATAAAATGGAGGGCAGGACCTGATTTTGGATCTGGAATTTGATTGGATCATGAAAAGTGGCTGTTGATATTACTGGTTAATATTATTTGTCCTACCTACATGGCCTTGATTTTATGTTAAATGTATAAGATGGCAAAGAAATTGTGTATAACAGCAAACTTTTTTCAGCAAACTTTTGATCACCAAGACACCAAGAACAATAACTATATTATATTAGTGTCTATAGTGTCGATAATGTTTTGTTTATTATAAGTGCACGTTGCCGTTATGTCGCCTGCCCCTTTAAATGCTCAAGCTCTTTAAAGCAGCAAAAATTCTGATTGGCTGTCAATATTTTCATTGTTGAACAGCTGGAAAAAAACATTCTGAAAGGGATTCTAATGATATCGTTCATCTGTGCTGTTAACATTATAGCTGTGGTGTGACTCTGCTATACTTTAGAGCGATTATTAAAACTACATCTTTATCGTTATCATTATAGTTTTTATCCTTGGTGTGAACGAGCTTTTTGAAATGTGCATATCAAATACAACACAGTAAGCTTTATAGAGTAGAATGCAATCTTTAAAATATTCACAGCTCAATTCATCAACAGCCAGAAAAATAAAAACTGGTTTAGTATGTTAAAAACAATGAGGCCACATGTCGACAAGAACATTTCAGGCTATGTTCTGGAAAGCCCCCAGCTGTGTGTAATCGAGAACATGCTGACGGGCGGAGGTCGCGCTCTCGATTCTTGTGCTGGAAAATTGAGATTGTTCTAGTGACATTCTAATATGTTGTGCAGCGGTTCTCTCTTACTGAGCCTCAGGCAAAACACTGGATCGATAGGCCAAAAATATCCCGCCAGCGCAGTACAGGGAATTGCTTTTTTTCCCTGGTGAAGTCAAATTATGTGCATAGATGTGTTTGTGGGAATGTGTTCAGGTGAATGTGTTCACATCACGCAGACCTTTGGCCGCACTGATTCACAGCTGCAAAGTCATTCTGTAACAGCTCGGACTGATGGAGGGAATCGAACGGTGTCCTGCTGTTGTCCATCAGTTCTTAGACCTGCACTGAAGAACAACTGAGAAATGGATGTTGATGGTATGAAACACTTTCAAATACTTCACATCTCTTTTCTCTGGTGTTTTTATCCAAATCACAAAAAAAAAACTAGTACATTAGATGCTGCCAAATCAATAGGTGCGTCACATCACACATCGTTGATACGTATTATTCGTAGGATTACTTTCCCAATAAGATTCTCAGTAGAAGAAATTGTTGCTCTTTCATGACAATAATTGAGCTGAAAGAGAAAACTGACTGTAGAAGACAGTCAGAATAAAGAAGTTTATGCTAATGTTGCGTCCCTCGTGGCGGCGCTGACAACACACTTGAGTTGAATTACAAATTGCATTCTAATATATTTCAAAACAAAACATCACGCGCATTTCAGCTAGCATAGCTAAAAGCATTTGCACTCACGTACGTACATAGGAACCGTTTGAGGTCTTAGAGACCACAGACCGTCTCTGAAGCTTGAACATGCAATCTGTCCACTTTCTGACTCTACACGCTCTAGTAATTTCATATTTTCTCTTTGCCTTTTATTCTCTGAACTTTTCAATATTCAGAGCCGCTCCTTCAAGGCCGCCAGCATTAATCATTCACCTGTTAAATATTCCACTTGGCCCAGTGGAAAGAATAGAACTGATTAAGCAATGAAACAGGCAGAAATTAACTTAGGTGTTAGTTGACTTTGTCAGCAAACAAATAAATAAATCAACCAGGTGTTTAAACTCAACACAAAGACATGTCTGAAATAGAGACAAAATCTGAAAGAAACGCAGCTCAACTGATCTCATTTCACACAGATCCAACGATCTTTGAAGATGAGCGAGGCTCTTTAAAAGATCTTAACATGAGATGAGAAGAGAACTGATGAGAAGGAGATGATCTGAAATGTTACTCGCTGACTCTTTCAGGTCACGTCATCTGTAATACTGCACTGCACAGTAAAGAGATTGTACAATTCCTCCTGTTTTAAAAAAGTAGTATGCAGTATATAATGACAATGTTTCAGAATTTCTGCAATTAGAAGATAATCACAGTAATCACATGACCTCACACTACACTGCACCACTTAATAAATACAGCATCACTGCTACTAGTACTCGCACTTACAGCTGTGGTTGTTCAAAAGTTATTTCACCAAATGGATAAGAGGGGGAAAAACAACCATATCTTGAGGGCTTATTAGGATTACGATTTTTTTGATGTAGGACAGTAAGCAACCACCTAGCAACCAAGAAAAATACCCTAGCAACATGCTAAAACCACTCAGAAACCTTCAGCAACAACATTATCAGACCAATTTTCTTCAGAAAATTATCTACTCTAGTGTTTCATTTAACATTTAGTGTTGTCAGTCTTTTCATATAACTGACAGACTTTTGTCAGTCTAATCAAATAATGAGTCAAGAAATAGATCTGAAACTAAAGTACTTCATTTTTCGTAGCACACACTCACACAATTTCTATGTAAACTGTATATGAGATCATTAACATATAATGCTGCTCTGATGTGACAGACTAAAGCGCGTTGGACTGAGGGCATATTAAATGTAAGAGCATCACTTTTGCATTGCTTGTGAATGTGAAGTGATCGTCAGTGAAGCTTCTCTAATAGACTCAATAGAGCCGTGATGACATCTGCTAATGAATCCCAGAGAGAATAAAGCAGGAAAGTTCTGCCTGTCACTCCACGATAACTATCGGCCTGAGCTGTCACTGCATCTTACTCAAGGCCATATCACGAGTAGTGTACGATCTTCAAACAATAACATGAATACTGCAAATTCCTAAGCTGGTTGCATCCCAGTTTGCACACTTAACTACACTATGAACGAAAATGCATGCTTTACAAGAGAAGCACAAGTACTGCAATGGCATTACATCATTACGATCATAATACTTCACATTCCTCACCAATGTACTACAACTTGCACTCGTTTACATGACACCATTTTCAGCTAAAAATGGCAAACTTTTAATGTGTTTTGACCATTTATTTATAAGACAACAGCGTTTTGGAGGCCTGGAAACACAAACTTGTCAAAATCTGGAAATTACGGTCTCCACGTGAACTACAAAAAATGCAAATTTGTGGAAATGGTGACGTCACGTGGATGCGTATTACGTGTTCGTTCTGTAGGTATGTGTGCAGGTGTGTAGTGTTTCTTTACAAAATGACATTGCCAACTACTGTTCTGCCATTAATATTACAGCGTTTTTAGTAGTTGTTTTCGTGGATCCATGTGAACAGGGACCATTTTGACAATGTTGTCGTTTCGTATTTAGTACATCATTGTCATGTAAACAGTAACACTTTAGTATAGGGACCAATTCTCACTATTCTCACTAATTGCTTTTTAGCATGCCTATTATTAACATACTGGCTGTTTATTAGTACTTATAAAGCACATGTTCTGCATGACCATATTCTACATCCCTTATCCTACCAAATACCTAAACTTAACTACCTTACTAACCATTAATACGCAACAAATTAGGAGTTTATTAAGGCAAGACGTAGTTAAAGGTTTGTTAATAGTGAGAACTAGACTTTAAAATAAAGTGTGACCATGTAAACATACCCTCAAATATCAAGGTTCTTTACTGGCATCAGTGTTTTCATGAAGAACCTATGACATCCATGGAATCTTTCCATTCCACAAAAAAAAAGCTTCTTTACATTTTTTTTTAATTGTCTTCACTTAAATAAATAGTTATTTTAAGAACTGGAAAAGGTCCTTTGGGGAACCCAAAAGGGTACTTCTATGGCAGGGCTTTAGAGGGTCACTGTCCTGCAGAGTTTAGCTCCAACCCTAATCAAACACACCTGCCTATGGCTTTCTATTGATCTTGAAGACATTGATTAGCTTGTTCAGGTGTGTTTGATTAGGGTTGGAGCTAAACTCTGCAGGACACTCTCCAGGATCGAAGTTGCCCAGCCCTGTTCTATAGCATCAATGCAAGACACCTTTTTAGGACCCTAGGTTTTTAAGAGGATTGTGGGTAATATTAGACCAATAAATCATGTACATTTTGAAAATCCACCAAAAGTAAACTAAATATTATATTTGACCTAGTATGATTTGGATTGCATTATTTACTTAACCTGTACTATTCATGAAAGATAGTATGCAAATTGGTTATTTGTTTGGTCATTAAGTAACATAGTTGGCTGTGTTTGCAAGTGAGGAGTTAGTAGTGGAAACTTTGCCTAGATGCTCTCCCAGTTCCCATGGTGATTGGGTTCCAGTTGGTTGCTATGTGCTATCGGTAGTCACGTTTCCTTAGCGATGCCTTTATAGAGGAAATGATGTCAATGACAGACAGATGCACTTCGAACTAAAAGTTCTATGCCTTATAAGTTACTCAACGAACATTGGAATTATTTCAGGATAGAAAAATAACATCTAAAAATGTTTCTCCTACACAACAGTTAGTTTAAATGGGGAGTAAGTGAAGACATTGAAGTCCTCTTCCTTTCAGATATTTCTTCTAAGAAAAAGATCTCAATGTTTCTCCACAAGACACTAAAATCCACACTCATAAGCACAAGCATAAATCAAAAGCAACATTCCTCTTGCTAGATACCTCACCCAAAGCCTTATGTTTACAATAACCCTAAACATGCCTCATTTCAGACCCCTAAATGCTTATAATAACAAACCAAACCAAAATGTCAAAGTACAGGCATATAGCTTCAATCTGGAACTGACATATGAGCTGTTAAGAATAAACAGCACACCAGAAAGCCTTCAAATGCAATATAAGTCCAAAAAGTAATCCAGCAAAGCGAATATTAGTCGAGCGTGACTTTAACAAAAATTTAAGCCCGGCATCAATTATTCATTCCTGCCAAATGTGTTGTTATTGAAAAGCGATGAGACAGATTGTACTGCCAATAGAGACACTGATGTGTTCAATGAGTTCTGGAGCGGCTCCGACTGCAGAGTGACAATCACAGTTCTGAGAGAATAATCCAAACTCAGAGCAGAACTTCTGCTTCTCTAATGGCTGCGCTTTCGCCACAAGCACAACACATGGTGTTATCAGTTACATCGAATCAATGATGATTCACTTCAGCCCTCACCGGGGCTTTCAACACCTGAGGGGATGAAATCATTTTTCATTTACAGACAGGCAAGTCAACGCTCTAACTCTCCTCTCATTTTCAACGAGGCAGAATGTCTACAGCTTATGTTTTCACCTCCCATCAAAGCTAAAATACAGATTCGGATTGAATTACAAAGAGTGTCTGATGACAGTCAAATTCTGACAAACAACAGTCGGACTTTAGAGAATCATACAGGACATAAACCTTGAGATAAAACCGATGTCATTTCCCTCCGTCAACAACCAAAGATATTTTCTGTTTGCGCTAGGAGACCGCTTTTCAAAACCATCTGTGTAACATTAAATTGTGTAATACTCAAAATATAAGCTTTAAACAAATGAATCTTTCACAATGCCATCAATTAACTCTGAAAAACAGCTGCAATATGGAACGGCACAAATGTAAACAAGAGTAAATAAAAGGCAAAATCATTTCTTACAAGATCTTTCTCAGACAGTTTTTAAACAATCTTTATGAAAATTAATAGAACCACAACGCTAACTCACAAATATAAAATATATGCTTCCCTAAACTTTGTGTAATGGTAAAGTATGTATAATAATTCAGAATATATATTATGTATATATTATTAAAACTGTAACCTTTAACATCTCCAAACAATTGTAATCAAGACTTTGAGCATACAGTGTCTTGGTCTTTATAAAAAATAAAATA